GTCATCTAATCCAACCCCAACACCAAGCCTATGCCAGCATAGAATTCCAGCATAGATATGCTGGCACAGACCCTTAGTGAAGGTGGAACATACGATAACGGAAGGAGTTTCCCTGTCCGGGTAGAAACACCACCTCCCTGAACGACGTTAGCTACGGTGACAAAAGCACTCTAGTTAGCATGAATGAGTTTCTCCAGCTTCAGTGCTTTCAACTCAGGCTTGGTCTACACTTGAAAGCTGTATCAGCATAGCTACATCGGTCAGGGATGTGAAAAAACCCACATCCCTGACCAACAGGGCTACGCCGACAAAACCCCAGGGTAGAGGCAGATGTAGATGTCATCTGAGCTAATGGGGGCCTGCTCTACTCTTAACAAATTAGATTGACCTAGCTAGATGACTCAGGGCTGTGAAAAATTTCACACCCTGAGCAATGTAGTTAGGTTGACCTAGCCCGCAGTGTAGACACAGCTTCGTCGATGGAAGAATTCTTCTATTGACTTAGCATCTTACGTCGATGGAAAAAGCACTTCTGTCGATGTGGGAAGCGTCTACACTCTGGTGCTACAGCAGCACAACTGCAGTGTCATAGCTCTGCTACTGGAGCACAAACAGACCCAAAGTTCAGGGAGGTGGTGTTGCCTTCTGTGGCCGTACCCTGCATCTACAGCAGGGGGCTGCATAGCTACGCCCACATAGGCTTTGTAGCGTAGACGTAGCCAGGTAGTGAGTCAGTTAATTTCTAGACAACTCAAGACTAAACCTGCTATTGAAATATAAATACACATTGTACGTGTAAGTCATCCAGAGGGTTTTAACTCGAGTAAACCAAGTTGTCAATGGCGTAAACCACACATGGATACAAGTCATTTTGCTGCGTTATCAGTTGCAGCTGGCATGAAGGTGGTTTCTCCAGCTCAGCTTCACCGTTGCAGTGACTGGCTCTAGAGACGGAGCGGGAGTTTATTCAGGTGATTCACCCAAGGTGCTGTGACAGCCATACGCCTGTTCTCTGAGTGGTTTCAGAGTAGCAGCCGTGTTAGTCTGTATCCGCAAAAAGAAGAACAGGAGGACTTGTGGCACCTTAGAGACTAACAAATTTATAAGAGCATTAGTTCTCTGAGTGGATTTCTTGGTGGTCTCCCTAGATAGGGCTGTAAAAGAGAGTTAATAGGGTGCTTGTCAGAGACAGGACTTCCGTTGTTAGCCAGCAGGGGGTGTTCTCGCTGGCTAGGTGATGATGGTCCCACTCACCGTCTCTTTCATGCAGACGTTTTGACTTCAGGAAGTGACATGTTGAACAACACGGGACGTTTTGTATCTTTTCTGTACCTCTGCTGGGTAAAGCTGATGTGGGCCAACCAGGAAATGACCCATACTCATGGCAAAATCTTGGCATATTCAACCAGGATCCGAGTTGTGTCCCTTCTCATTATCCAATGAGAAAACAAGGCCTCTTGCAACTTTGGAAAACTCCAGGATCTTTATGTAAAACACCTTGTGCCACCCCAGTTGGTATCAGACCCGTGGGGTAATGCACTGAACATCTGCTGGCTCAGTTCCGGTCAGTAACTTACTGCCATAAGTTACCTTCCGTGACCCCCTGCCCTGTGCTCCTTTGGCCAGTTTTGCATGACTCCACGCTCTTTCCATCAGCACTCTTAGCTGTTTGCAGAAATGTCCATCTGGAAGTTGGAACAGAATCTCGACGGAAAGTCTCTTCCCACTCCTGGATGGCTCTGTCCTTGGGTCGTAGTTCTTCACCCAGTCATATACAGTCATTTCACTCATTTGCTTCATCTGTCACCAACAGGAGAGAACAGTTAATGAAATAACACTAACAGCTCTACACACCTCCATACCAGGGCTTGATTATTCCCTAGACCTCAGTGACAAGGTCAATAGCGTCGCTTCACACATGAAACGCCTTCTGGTGCACCTGCCATGCACCCAGTTCATCAGGCCTCATGGTCAGTTAGGCCGTAGAACATTTTGGTTGGTTGTTCTTAAAGATTTACACTTCACATTGGCTTTTCCCCCTGCCATCTGAATGCATCAGCTTCTTTAATAGCAAAGAGACACCTAGCTAGCGAGACCTTTGTTAGTGGTTAGTTATATATATTTTTATTGACCATGTTTCTATATGGGACTGAAATCCCACCTCTAGTGGCTCTGTGGATAAGTGAGGATATTTGCATGGCTGTGTGTGTGCCTGTCAGTGCACTGGATCAGAGCCCACCATTTCCATGACCCTGTGTGCAGGCAAAGATGTGCACTTGCCGCGACCAACAGACCCCATACCCAGATGTGCCCAGCTGCAGAAGTATGAACCTAGCATCCATTTGGACTCAATAGCTGGGCCCAGCACTAGGCTAGTGCCCACAGACAGGTTCCTGGAGGGGATGGCTGAGAGCAGAGGGTTCTTCTTTCACCTAGGGTTACCATATTTAACAAATAAAAAAAGAAGACCCTCCACGGGGCCCTGGCCCCGCCCATTTCCCACACCCATCCCGCCCCTTCCCCGCCCCAACCCTGCCCCCCTCCTCCCTCCCACTCCCACGCGAAAAGGGCTGCCCGAGCGCTACCGGCTTCACGGTTTGCCGGGCAGCCCCCAGACCCTGCGCCCCCGGCCGGCGCTTCCCCAGTGCAGCTGGAGCCCGGGAGGGGAAGCGCCCGGCCGGTGGCTGGGGGCTGGAGCCAAGGGGGGTGCCCGAAGCCGGAACGCCTGGGCCGGTC